CCCTATAGCCATATAGCACGATATCCCTATAGCCATATAGCACAATAGCCCATATAGACTTATAGCCCTGTAGCCCTATAGCCCTTTGCCCGTATAGTCCTATAGCCCTATAGCCCTGTAGCCCTATAGCCCCATAGCCCTATAGTTATGTAGCCCTATAGCCCTATAGCCCGCCAGCCCTGTTGCCCCATAGCCCTATATCCCTAGAACCCCATAGCCCTATACCTCTACAACCCTATAGCCCTACAGTCCTACAGCCAATAGCCCTATAGCCCTATAACTCCATAGCCCTGTAGCCGTATAGCCCTGTAGCCCTATACCATATAGCCCTATAGCCCCATAGCCCCATAGTCCTACAGCCCTATAGCCCTACAGCCCTAGCCCTACAACCCCATAGCCCTATAGCTCGATAGCCCTATAACATTTTAGCCATATAGCGTTAGAGTCCTATAGCCCCATATGCAAATAACGCTATAGCCATTTAGCCATATAGCCCTATGGCCCTATACCCCCATAGACCTACAGCCCGTTAGCCCTATGGCCCTACAGCCCTATAGCTTTATATACCTTATAGCCCTATAGCTATCCCTATAGCCCGATGGCCCAATAGCCCTATATCCTATAATTAGCCATGTTTCCATGTTGCGATACAGCCCCATAGCTCAATAGCCTTATAGCCCCATAGCAACAACAAATATGATTGTTTCTTTTCTCTGGTGTTCTATACTCATGTTTGTAACCGGGCCTACATACACTTTCGCATTGGGGCATCAGGGCGCCTGAACGCCGTCGCAACAGGGCGCCCGGACACCTGGACACCCAGACGTCCGGGCACCCGGACACCCGGACACCCGGACGCCCGGACACCCGGACACCCGGACGCCCGGACGCCCGGACACCCTGACACCCGGGCGCCCGGACACCCGGACACCCGGACACCCGGACACCCGAGCACCGGGACACCCGGACACCCGGACACCCAGGCACCCGGGCACCCGGGCACCCGGGCACCCTGCACCCGGACACCCGGACACCCGGGCACCCGGACACCCGGACGCCTTGGCAGCTGCAACCGGACGCCCGGACAACCGGACACCTTGCGGGCACCCGGACACCCGGGACACCGGGCACCGGGACACCCGGTCACCCGGACAACCCGGCACGCCGGACACCCGGACACCCGGACACCTGGACACCCAGACACCCGGGCACCCAGACACCCGGGCACCTGGGCACCCAGACGCCTGGACGCCCGGACGCCCGGACGCTTGGACACCCGGACACCCGGGCACCCGGACACCCGGACACCCGCCGGACACCCGGCCACCCAGACACCCGGACACCCGGACACCCGGGCACCCGGGCACCCCGGCACCCTCACACCCGGACACCCGGGCACCCGGACACCAGGGCACCCGGACACCCGGACACCCGGACACCCGGACACCCGGACGTCGACGCCTGGACACCCGGACACCCGGACACCCACACCCGGACACCCGGACACCCGGGCACCCGGACACCCGGACACCCGGACACCCGGACGCCCGGACACCCGGACACCCGGACGCCAGGACGCCCGGACACCCGGACACCCGGACGCCCGGACACCCGGGCACCCGGACAGCCGGACACCCGGACACCCGGACGCCCGGACACCCGGACACCCGGACACCCGGACACCTGGACACCCGGACACCCGGGCACCCGGACACCCGGACACCCGGGCACCAGGACACCCGGACACCCAGACACCCGGACACCCGGACACCCGGACACCCGGACGCCCGGACACCCGGACGCCCGGACGCCCGGACGCCCGGGCACCCGGACGCCCGGACGCCCGGGCACCCGGACACACGGACACCCGGACACGCGCCCGGGCACGCACCTGGGCACCCGGGCACGCGCCCGGGCACGGTAAAATAGTCATATACCCCTCTCTCTCTCTCTCTCTCTCTCTCTCTCTCTCTCTCTCTCGTCGCGGGCTCGTGAGATCAGCCAGGGTGGCTCCCCCTTGGGGCTCCTCGTGAGATCAGCCAGGGTGCTCCCCCTTGGGGCTCCCAAATGATGCCCCTGGCAGCGTTTTGCGACCATGAGGCTCTCAAGAGATACATGTTGGGGGCGCCAAACGGCAATTCTAGCTGAGACGTCCCACAAAAATCGGCGCGAACGGGCTCGTGAGATCAGCCAGGGTGGCTCCCCCTTGGGGCTCCCAAATGATGCCCCTGGCAGCGTTTTGCGACCATGAGGCTCTCAAGAGATACATGTTGGGGGCGCCAAGCGGCAATTCTAGCTGAGACGTCCCACCAAAATCGGCGCGAACGGGCTCGTGAGAACAGCCAGGGTGGCTCCCCCTTGGGGCTCCCAAATGATGCCCCTGGCAGCGTTTTGTGACCATGAGGCTCTCAAGAGATACATGTTGGGGACGCCAAACGGCAATTCTAGCTGAGGCGTCCCACCAAAATCGGCGCGAACGGGCTCGTGAGATCAGCCAGGGTTGCTCCCCCTTGGGGCTCCCAAATGATGCCCCTGGCAGCGTTTTGTGACCATGAGGCTCTCAAGAGAGACATGTTGGGGAGGCCAAACGGCAATTTTAGCTGAGACGTCCCACCACAATCGGCGCGAACGGGCTCGTGAGATCAGCCAGGGTGGCTCCCCCTTGGGGCTCCCAAATGATGCCCCTGGCAGCGTTTTGTGACCATGAGGCTCTCAAGAGATACATGTTGGGGCGGCCAAACGGCAATTCTAGCTGAGGCGTCCCACCAAAATCGGCGCGAACGGGCTCGTGAGATCAGCCAGGGTGGCTCCCCCTTGGGGCTCCCAAATGATGCCCCTGGCAGCGTTTTGTGACCATGAGGCTCTCAAGAGATACATGTTGGGGGCGCCAAACGGCAATTCTAGCTGAGACGTCCCACCAAAATGGGCGCGAACGGGCTCGTGAGATCAGCCAGGGTGGCTCCCCCTTGGGGCTCCCAATTGATGCCCCTGGCAGCGTTTTGTGATCATGAGAGAGTGTGAGTGTGTGAGCTTAACTTATCTTATCTTATCTTGAAATCTCTTCTTATCATATCTTGTGCTATCTTATATTATCTTGTAGTATCTTATCTTGTCTTGTCTTATCTGGTGATTATCATTGGGAGGAGGGAGGCGCGAGCGGGAGGAAGAAGGAGGAGGAGGAGTGGGAGGCGTCAGAGTAATAACAAGAACCCCAATCCTTAGGATATGGGGAATAACAGGAATCCCCGTAGTTTGCCATATCTTCTTGGTTTTTGTCTTCCCCCCCACTTCCCATATTTTCCCATATTTTCGGGGGAATCGACGATTCATTGTGTCGGTGTGTTTCTTTCCCTCCTGATCTCAGAGGGACCCACGGGGCTTCTGGGAAGGCCTCCTTTAGAGCCTGCAGGGCTTCTGTCGGCTGCACGCAGGGGCGACCTTTGGGCAGGGGTGACCTTTGGTGCGCGGCTCAGCGGGGGACGCGGGGTGGCCAGACCTGGGCGCGCAAGCCGCTGCTACCGCTTCGCGTTCGGTGATCGGGGGACCCAGCGGGCCCGCAGCAGAGGCCACTCCGGCGAAAGGTCCCTCTCGCACCTGGTCGACGCTGAGGAGCCCCCGCCTTCTCGGAAGCTCCCGCAGCCCGCCTCGAAGGCCGCCGCCTTCCCGCAGGCCCCAGCGCGCGCGCGCCCCGCCAGTGGAGCGGCAGAAGAAAGCGGGGTCGCAGCACCACGAAAGCGAGGAGAGGAACCCTCGCTCCACACAGGGTTTACAGTCAACCCGTATGATAAGGACGCACGATAAGGATACAGGGGCCTTGCAAGGCCATGTCGACAGCGGGTTGACTGTATCCTGAATCGGAGCCAGCGCGAGATGCTGACAGGCAAGAGCGGTGTCGGCAGTGCGGAGGGCAACGGACGAGCCCAGGCTGCGCGCCAAGAGTAGCGGACCCTCGAGTCGGATCCGATGGCGGCTAAAACTCAATGTGTTGATAAGCTCCTTATCCTCCTCGATCCTCCTCCTCCTCCTCCTCCTCCTTCTTCTCCTCCTCCCCCTCTTCCCCCTCCGTCTTGACCTCCTTCCAACTGGCATCGCAAAGCGGAGTGCGAGGGATAAACCGATGCTCCATTCAGACCTTGTCGAGACGTCAGGTCCGAGCCCGCGGCAGGGTCACAACGCAGAAGGCGAGACGAGAACCCACGCTTCACGCAACGCCTGTCATTGTCCTGAGCCGGAGCTGGGTGGTGGTTCGGGTTCAGCACCGTGGCTGCTTCGGTGGTATTACATGGCAGCGGTGAACGCAGAGCTGAGGGAATCCACGCCCAGCGCTGAACTTATGACACTCTTGATCTGGAGCCTTTGGCAGCTCGCAGTCAAGATCTAGGTCAAACGAAGGCCATGCGAGACGCGGAGAGCAAGGGATTAATCCAGGCCCCATCTTGGTGTCACATTGTTGCTCACGCTGCATCGCTGAGCACCCAACCATAGATCGTACTGCGAAGCCGAGTCCAGGGATACGAAGGCACCCTACCAGAAGCCAGGCCCGACTTGGCGAAACTCGTGGGGATAGCTACTGGGCCCAACGTCGTACCCGAGGTCTCGAACTGGCAGCCGCTTCCCGAAGGCGACAGCGTCTGCTGTTCGGTAGGCGATCTGAGCCACCGAACTAGCATCTTTCGCGGTGAAGCTGACGGCGGACCCTGCTAAAAAAGAAGAAGAACTGCTGTCTCCACTCGTATCGGACCTAGCCCGGGCTCTTGATCCATTTTCTCCCCCTCCCTGCGAACCAGGAAGGGAGACGATATGCTCGAAATGGGAGGACATGATCGAGGCTCCCGACATGGGCCGTCTCGATCCGACCCCTCCCCCTCCCCATCTCCATCGGCCACATTTCGGGCGTCTCGATCCAGCTCCTCCCTCTCGCCCCCTCTTACCCCGGTCGCCCCGGTGCCCACTATCGTCCCTCGTCCCTCGGCGGCGATCGGGCTGGCCGAGGCCAGCACTGCTCCCCGCTTGACCTTTCCTTGGCGAGGCGACGAGCCGTGGACTTCATCTGTGCCGCGCCAGGGTGCGGAGGGAGCGGCGGATGAAAGAACAACGATGATGACGAGCACAACGGAAAAGCAAGATACGGGTAGGCTCGGGTAAAGAGTGCGCATTCAACCCGTCGGTGGATTGACCTCGGGCAGACAAGACAGAGAACACGATGAAAACGGATGGTACGAGAAGGGGTACCTTTTCTGCGGGCGCAAGGAATCTGGTTAACACGCGTCTCATACGGGCACGGGTCTCCAAGATGGCTCCAAGAAGGACCAGGAGAGCCCCAAGAGGAACCCAAGAGGGTCCCAAGGTGGCCCCAAGAGTGCCCAGGAGCGCTCCAAGAGCGCCCCAAGAGGGGTCGAAGAGGCGAGTTTTAGGGGCTCTAAGGGGGGGGGGGGCTAGTCAAGTACCTCCACTTCTCTGATCGAGCTCCTCTAAGATGGTCCCAAGATGGCCTCTAAGGCGGGCCTCTAAGGCCCCAGGAAGCCCCCGAGAGCTCCCTGAGAGGCTCCCGAGAGACCCCCAAGAGGCCCCCCCAAGGCACCAAAGACGCTCCAAGAGGCCTCTGTGATCGCCCAGAGGCCACCACGACGCCCCAAACGGACCCCAAGAAGCTCTCAAGAGGCAGACGAAGAAACTCCGAGAGGCATCCAAGAGGCCTCTGGCCTTTCTGCTCGCGATCCTCCTTTTCTTCCTCCTCCTCCTCCTCGTCGTCGTCCTCCTCCTCCTCCTCCTCCTCCTCCTCCTCCTCCTCCTCCTCCTCCTCCTCCTCCTCCTCCCCCTCCTCCCTCCTCCCCCTCCTCCTCCCGCTCCTCTTCCTCCTCCTCCTCCTCCTCCTCCAATTCCTCCAAATCTTCCTCCAATTCCTCCTCCTTCTCCTCGTCCTCCTTTTCCTCCTCCTCCTCCTCCTCCTCGTCCTGCTCCTCCTCTTGGGGTATGACGGCTTCCCCAATCCTTGCTTCCACTGCGTGCTCCTCCACATACTTGATGAAGACATATCGCCGGGGCTTCGTTTCTGGATGGGCTGGTGGAGTTATTTTTTGGTTCGCAAGCGCACGAGACGGGTCGGACGCCGAGTAAACTAGGGCGGGCCGCGCTTCCTAACTCAGGAAAAAACAGACATGCGAGCAGCGTCTGGCTTAGAGCGGGACGGGGCTCAACGCTGCCAAGCTGGCGCGAATGGCCCTACAAAGCGGCACCTGGATCACGCCCACCGAGGTGCCGATAAGGATGCACATGCTTCCCCATGTAAGCAAGTCGATGCAAATCAATGGAAGGCGACCCCACTGCGACCACGGAAATAACACCACACTTGCCCAAAATGGCGGCGACAAAAAGGGCGAGAGAGACCGTCGTTCAATTCCCCAAGTATGCATGTCGAACTCGACGTCCATGAGCCCTTCGGCCAAACAGACATAAAGAAACGACCCGGCAACCCCGTAGGAGCAGCGTGAACAACACCGAGGGAGCGGCGTGGGCAACGCGAAGAGGTCGCGCCAAGCGGACGCCGAAGAGACAAGCGGCCTCCAGTTCCCCAGGTCGTAGAACGCGTGGTCGTTAACGCGGTGGAGAGGTGCTGTGCGACGAAGCGGGGTTGGCTGGGCTGCGGCCGCTCCGTGCCCTCCAGCGGGCGGGACAGAAACCCCCTAGGCGCGGGGGGGCGGGGGCGGGGGCGGGGGGGCAGGCAGGGGCAGCCAGACTGACTGCGCGACCCTGTAGGGAGAAGGGCCACCCCTCGACGGCAAGGAGCGGCAGCGCGACCAGGGGCAGCTCGTGTTGGGCTGCCCGCGGGGCGGCCGCATGCTGTGAAACATGTTTGCCGGACGGTTCCCCAGGCTGAACGAGGGGAGAGACCGGCAGCTGATCGCTGCAAATACTCTGAAGGCCTCGGCAAAGGAATACCCAAGGTGGACTGGCAGCTGATCGATGCAGATACTTCGTAGGAGGCAGCTGATCGCTGCAAGCACTCGAAGAGCCTCGGCATAGGAATACCCGTGGTAAACAGCTGATCGCTGCAAGCGCTTGAAAAGCCTCGGCAGAGGAATACTCGTGGTAAACAGCTGATCGCTGCAAGCAAACGTAAAGCCTCCCATCGGATCGATCCGGCTTTGAGGGGCGCAGGAAGACGGGGTCAAGGGCCCCGGTCGTAATGCTTCATGGTGCGCGGCGCTCGACGTTCCGTCAGCAAGTACTTTGAACATTTTAGCAGAGGAATGCCCAAGGTGGACTGGCAGCTGATCGCTGCGTATACTTTGAAGACTTCGGCAGAGGTATACCCAAGGTGATGCCGCCACCACGGCAAGCAACGAAAGAGGGGTTGCAGGCGGCGGGGGGCCTTGCCTGCCCAGAAGGAGTGTTCAATGACGTCGTTGCCGAACAACTCGGCAGCTGTAGCGGCAGGAGCGGCAGCCTGGGCCACAGGTCGCCAGATGGCCAGCTGTCGCTGCATCCGTCGGCCTCCGCTGCACCCCCACCGAAGCGTGCCGCGCCGGTGCGCTGGGGCAGCGGCCGGAACGGCAGCCTGGGACGCCGCCGCTGATCGCCCAGAAGCCTGCTGTCGCTGCGCCCGTCGGCCTGCGCTCCCCTCCCGCCGCGGCCCACCACGCAAGCTGCGCTGTCGCTGCTGCGTCGGGGCCAACTCCGCCATGAAGTCCCGGCGCCCGCGTGAGACGATGCGGGTCCAGCCGCAGCCTCCACGTCACGACGAAAGATTTGGAAGCGGCCCACCACGTCCGAGAGCATGGCCGCGCCAGCTTTGGTCACGCACTGCCAGAGCTTCTCTGCCAGTGCTGTCGGCGCCAGAAGGCGGGGGCCGCAAGGAGGGCGCGGCGTCCACGAAGTTGCCTCCGGACGCCTGCCAATGGATGGAGCCGGCGAGCCGCCTCCGCGCGGTTGCACCTGGCGCTGCCCCGCGTTGCGGCCTTTGGGGGCTCGTCGCTCACGACGCTGGCAATGTCGAATGGTTCGGGCGCAGCCCCGCCGCTGGCAGCAGGGTCAGTCGAGGAGGTGCGCGGGGGGGTGGTCGCCCTCTCCTCCTCGTCTGGCCCCCCGCGCTTCTGTTCCAACGCGTGCTCTGTCCCCATGTCGTCGGCGTCGGCGTCGGCGTCGTCGGCGTCGGCGTCGGCGTCGGCGTCGTCGGCGTCGGCGTCGGCGTCGGCGTCGTCGTCGTCGTCGTCGTTCTGCGGCCTGTCAGACCCCGCCAGGCCGTCGACGTTGGCGAGCGCCTGGTTGCATGCCGCGGGCGGCGAGGGGGCTGAGGGATCGCGGGTTCTCGGGGCCAGGCCCAGTGTCCAACCGCCTTTAGGCAGACGAACCAGCGTCGCGCGCTGGCCGCCGTGCCGTCGCTCCTTGGCGCCGGGATTCGCAATGTCGCAGGGGAGGGCGGTGTCTCGATCCAGTTCGATGGGGGCGCGGGAAGATGGGGTCGAGGGCCCCGGTCGTGCTGCTTCCTGGGGCGCGGCTCTCGATCGTTCCGTCTGGATGGCCGCGGCCTCCGTCGTCGCGTGTCTGTGACGGAGGATCCGCCGCTTCCCCAGGGTGGTCCCCCCAAGTTGTCAGCGCCGGCGCTGGTGTCGTGAGCGTCGTGGTTGCCGTCGTGGTTGCCGTCGTCGTCGTCGTCGTCGTCGTCGTCGTCGTCGTCGTCGTCGTCGTCGGCGTCTGTCCCCAGGTCGTCGGCGGCGTCGGTGTCGTGGGGGTCGTCGTCGTCGGCGTTCGGTGTCGGCGTCAGCGTCGGCGTCGTCGGCTTCGTCGGCGGGAGGGCAAGCCGTGCTCGTGCCAGGACACCCGTTGCCGGCTGGCGGCGCAGATGGGCATTGCACGCTCCGCGAATACGGCTGCGCAGCGCCGCCCCCCCTCCCCTCCTCCGCGGGGGGGCCGTCGTCTCCAGATGCGCGTCTAATCGTCGCAGGTGTCCTGTGTGACTCTTCCCCAGGCAGGCAACTGATCGTCGCGAGTGTACTGTCCTCGTCTCCATTGCCTTGCGCCGCATCGGGGTTGCGTCTTCCCCGGGCCTGGAAGGGGTCGAAGGGAACCGTGGGAGTGATGCCGACATCAATTTCTTCCCCCGGTGTGCTGCGGGCGAGGGGAAGTGCGCCGTTTCTTTCCTCCTCTACCCCGGGTGTGCGACTGATCGCCGCAAATGCATTGTTATGACGCGAAGCGTTCGTCGGCTCTCCCCAGGGTAGGCGGCTGATCGCCGAAAAAGGCAAATGAAAGAGGGGCGTCGCGACGGTCTTCCCAAGGTTGGCGGCTGATCGCCGCAAGTACATCGAAATCGGGTGACGGTCTTCCCTTGGGTGGCGGCTGATCGCCGCAAATACATCGATCTCGTCGTCCACCCTGGGTGTGCGACCGATCGCCGCAAGACATTGTCGTGATTCGCAGCGCTCCTTGATTCTTCCCGGGGTGAGCAGCTGATCGCCGCAACCGCAAATTGAAGAAGGGCCTCGCGACTCTCCATTGGGGGTGGCGGGTGGACCGGAAGGTCGTTGCGGTCACGATTCCGTCGCGACGCAGATCTGCTCGGACGGGGGCGGGCCGATCCAATATCGTTCCGCCGTCCCCTGAGTCCGTGTCTGTGACGGCGGAACCGCCGCTTCCGCAGGGTGGACCTGGTGAGCAACGCCGGCCGCGGCGGTTCCCTGGGTAGTTCTGTCGCGTCGCGGGTTCCGAACCTCGGCTCGGTTCCCGGGGGTCGCGATCCTGTGTGAGGGGTTGCGGGGGCCATGGTCGGTCGGGGACGTGCAATCGTGGTCAGTGTTGCAATGTGTTTCTGCGCCGTCGTGTATCCCCCAGACCTGAGCAGCATCGAGCGGGGCGGTGGGGGTGATATCAGCTGCCTCCCCAAGGACGGACATGGCAGAGCCGGCGCACCATTCGTATCGTCGTCTTCCCCAGGTGTGTGACTGACCGTCAGCAAGTGCGCTACTTGGTGTGCCGCGTCCCCAAGCTCTTCCCTAGGCGGGCGCCTGACGACCACGATGGCGGAGGAGGGGGGGGACTCGTGGCTGGCTG